TTCACCGTGAGAGTGTCTTTCAGAGTATTTATAAATTTATACTTAAAATTGTTTTACACTGACATACATGTGTGTGTGTGTATATATGTATGTATATATACATACATACATACATACATACACACATGTTCAATTCTGTTCAAAAGTCAGGAATCACTATTTTCATTGATATTAACCCAGTTTTGTGGCAGGTATGTATATAAAATGATGTTAATATGATGCTAATATTCTATAGGTTTCAAACTATTTGTGTGAAGCTGTAAAAATTAAGAAATTATCAATGAATAACAGAGTTGCAGATGATTTTTTAATAACTGAGACATCTGAACTTTAGATGAAAATGAATATCCAGAATGCCTCATATTTGAAAGCTGCTAACTTTTACCGACGTTAGTTATTTTTACCATATAATAACCTCTTATTGTTCCCAAAATAATTTAAATTCAGAATATCGGTTTACAATTTGGTGTCTAGTTTATCACAGTTCGATCTACACTGTATAAGCCATTACTGGACTATTGAATAAAAATTATTAATCTGACAAGTGATTCCATATTTTTGAACAGTAGTGTGTGTGTGTGTGTGTGTGTGTGTGTATATATATATATATATATATATATATATATATATATATATATATATATATATAAAAAACATCTCTATGTATTTGCATTGTATATACAGCTCTGTACAAAAGTCAGAGACCCTTCGTTTATTTTATTTTCCATTAAGTACAAGTTATTGATGTGTTAGGAGAAACTTGCGAGCAGTCAAAGTGAAAAAAGCAGGAGTTTCCTAAAGTTCAAAAGCTACAGAGAATATGTGACTCCTAACAACCACCTGGAAGACCTGGTAGACACCAAAACTGCCCCCATCAGTTAAACAGCACTTAAAGTTTCATCTTTGAGAGAGAGGAGAAAATCAAGCTGCTTCAGATCTGAAAACATCCACAGGTGTTTCTGTCCATCCTTCCACTGTGAGAAGACGACTCAGCGCTGTGGGTCTGAAAGGATGTGTAGCTGTCAAGAAGCCTCACTGAAAAAAGGAGACAGACACATCAAACAGAGAAGCTGAACAATGGACTGACCACCCCAGAGTCCAGACCTCAACATCACTGAATGTGTTTGATTACTTCAGAAAATGATCAACCAACTTCTAAGACTGAACTTTGGAGGTGTGTCTGCAGATTTCTTTGAGAAAGTGAGTCTCCTGTAAAGAATAGAAGCTGGAATAAAGGTAAAGAGTGACTCACTCAACACTTAAAGGCTGAGATTAGATTTAGCTGTTGTGTCATTTTCCGGTAAATATGTTTTCTGCTTTTGTCCTGAAGCTGAAAAATGAATAACTTGTACTTAATGATTTGTTTTTAGTAAATGAAAGGTGGTGTCTGCCTTCTGCATAGTGCTGTGTGTGTGTGTGTGTGTGTGTGTGTGTGTGTGTGTGTGTGTGTGTGTGTGTGTGTGTGTGTGTGTGTGCGGCTCTCAGCCGGTCTTTGGCAGCATTCTTGTGTTCAGCATCAACAGTAATAGATGAGAAGATGTTTAAAGGTGAGAAACAGCAGTTCTGAACCTGAAGCACGCCTAAATGAGGTCAGGCAGGTCATTTAAAACGCTAAACCACCAATTTTTACACCTTTTTACCCAAAAACTAGCTGGTGGATTAGCGCTGTTTTGCTAATGCATGACTGGCATACATAAACAACATCGCCATGTGAAGCCATTCGTCGTGTTCAAAATGAAAGAGTAAAGAAATTAATTATCATAAAGTAACTCTCCAGGAGCTTACGACAGAGATACATACTATAGAAAAAGAAAAAAAGGAAGGAAAAAAAAATATTTTAAAAGGGAATAAAACAAGATCTTAACAAGGCCCACTTTACAAAATTACAAGATATTTTTTAAATAAAATTTATCCAATACAAGCAATGAAAATAAGACATCTTACTTTTTTCCTTTCTTAAAAAAAAAAGAAAATACACTGGCAGAAAAGGAAGGACAGCGTGGAAGAGAATTTTTTTTCAGTATTTACCCTTTAACGTCCTGCCCTGCTGACCACAGCTCTTTTTGTTCGCTGTAAACTGAAAAAACAAAATAAAACAGAACCCACCATGGAATGATTTTGGCACGATTATAAAAGGCTGAGGCACCAAAAGCAGATACGAGAAGTAAAAAAACAAAAAAAAAAGATAAATGTTACGTTACGCGCTCTTACGTCTTTTCATTCATTTCATTTTGGCCGATACAAAGAAAAATCCCCACATGTACATATATACATACATACATTTATCTCAGAGGGCCGTACATTCACTCAATCTTGAAAAAGAACAACAGTACAATGTGACGGGATTAAATCTGTCAGCGTAAACGGGGCTGGATTGTGTACTGAGTGCTAAAGAAAACAGTTCAGTCAAAAATGCCAACATCACTAGCAACAAATGAACGTAAACAGACACCAGTTAGCATAATGCTAATGACATGCTAACGCTAACTGGTGGCTAGCCATGTTAGCATATTTGTTTGAGCTATTCCTTTGCTGATTCTGGCCTCTGGTCATTAGCGCCCCCTATATTTATCCTTTTAAAGGCCTATTTGAGGAGATTTAGCAGAGGTGCCAACATTTTTAGCCTTCCACTCACCCCACGCTGTCCAAACTGGCCTGATCTTAAACAGTTCTTTATAAAATTCCAATAAACACACTTGTTCCAGCTGTGGAGGCTGTTTTTGATGTTTCTCAGGAAGTTCTGCCTCCTGAAACAAATTTCAGATTGGAGATGATTATCTGAGCAAAACATAAAGACAACAGAATCCATATTGCAGCTAGATCCTTGGTTGAGGTCCAAAGGTCACACTGTGGACCTCAAAAAGCATGCAGCCATCCCACGGAGCCAGAGCGCTGTGCAGTTCAGTGATCGCCGTGGACGGCTAGTCTGGAGATGCACCATATGTTGCGAAACACAAAGTAGATGGTGGTAACTTCTCAGTGAGGGGGTTTCAATCTGGGGTCAGGGGTCAGTTTAACAGTTTACTATGGTCAGAGTTGAAAGGAGAGCCCAACCAAACATGCTAACGTGGCTAAACATAAGCTACTAGCCATCAATTAGCATATTTCCACAAAGGCCCTTTTCTTTCATTCACTGTTAGCTTTATATTAGCATTTCTGTCTAAACTCTCCCTTTAGGGTTGACTGTGTTGTAAATAAGTGTGGCTGTAACTAAACAACAACAAAAAAAAACTACATTTTAGGACTGTTTAAGTTTGTTTTTCCAGTAACTGTTATGTGATCTTGTTTTCCTCTACATAAACCTGCCTATACTGATGCAGGTTAAATGATCATTTAGATTAAAAACGGCTAAATCTCTGACAGACACGAGATTAGCACCCACAGCATTAGCATACAGTTTCACATTTTCACTCCAGCTGTTCAACAAAAAGCTCTTTTCTGAAGTCAGTCGCAAGAACGCTAAAGCTGAGGGTGCTGAGTCAGCCTGTAATGATAGAAGAGTTCTAGAGATTAAGGCTTTAAAAGGGAATTTGGGTGGTATAGTGCAGGATTAGCTCTATAATGCTAATGCACACTTCTAGTGGCTATTTTCTGCGGCTTGCTTTACAGAACCTCCCTTTCTTTTGACCAAAAGTGGGCAGCAGATGAAACATTCCTGTAGAGACTTAGCCAGCGCACTTCAGCCTACTTGGCTGCAGCTGTTAGCGTTAGCATACAACATCCTGACAAGCTCACACATGCAGCGTGGAGACTCGCTCATATTTATCTCCCTCTCTCGCTCTCTCTCTCTCTCTCTCTCTCTCTTTCTGAAAAGAGCCCGCTCCCCCCTAAAACGGGGTTTTAAGTATTTATAACCTCTCAAGTCAAAAACAAGTACGCAGCTGGCTTCAGCGCTGACCTCTGACCTTTCAGCAACCTAGAGACTGTAAATCAAATACAGTGCGGCTAATAAAATGGCTCTGGTGCATTGTGGGATATGGGGGCCTTTGCAGACCAGGACGCAGAGTTTAGCAAACATGTTAACATGGCTGAAAGGTAGTAATTTAGCATGATTAGCATGATGCATTATGCTAACTGCTGGCCATTCACGTTCATTTCTTGCTAGCAACATTAGCTTTCATCAGTAGAGGACTTACTTTAGGAAAGGTTTAAGTGCGATTAAAGATCAGAAGAATGTGACTGATATTAAGGTTACACAGCAGAAGCTGGAAGACAGTAAACAGTGACAGAGTGGAAGACGCTGACCACAGGGAAGCGCAAATGACCAGAAATGACCACAAAAACTGCCCGCTGCATTGGGCACTATAAAAAAAAATCCAGTAATATTCAGAGAGACCGGTGCTCACAGCATCTGAGCATCAACATAACCGTAGATCAGACATCGCTGTCGTAATGAAAACTTCCTTAAAGTTTAAGCGTGATAAATATGTTATTAGCTGTAATGTAACCAGTTTTTATTTTAAGCAAATTTGGACCATTTCTATCAGCCCATTCGTCATGAAGTCGTCATGTTCTGCATGTTCATTTTATTGTAAAAGTTTTCTTATGACAGTGATGTACACCAACTTCCAGTGAATTCTGGACAGAGATTTCCAGGATTGGACAGTTCCCCTCTACAGGCTCCGCCCACAAATGTGTTCTATCGTGGCTACTGTTGTGAGGTTGGGCAAGCTTTACAGAATGCTGGCAAAATACCATTCAGCATAAGGAGAAATTGTAGAACCTAATGAGAAGAATGAATAACTGACTCTAAATGTAGGTATTGTGATATAAACTGAGTCTGTTCTACAGTTTCTCATTAGGCTGAATGAATAACTGACTCTAAATGTAGGTATTGTGATATAAACTGAGTCTGTTCTACAGTTTCTCATTAGGCTGAATGAATAACTGACTCTAAATGTAGGTATTGTGATATAAACTGAGTCTGTTCTACAGTTTCTCATTAGGCTGAATGAATAACTGACTCTAAATGTAGGTATTGTGATATAAACTGAGTCTGTTCTACAGTTTCTCATTAGGTTGAATGAATAACTGACTCTAAATGTAGGTATTGTGATATAAACTGAGTCTGTTCTACAGTTTCTCATTAGGCTGAATGAATAATTGACTAAATGTAGGTAACCGAGTTTCTCATTAGCTTCAATGGGATTTTTCTGTAAGGCTTGTCACAACAGTAGCCATGACAGGATGCCCTTGTGGGCGGAGCTTAGATAGGTCAGTTATACTGTATGCTTCCCCCACTGCAACCATTGCATATGTACATAACAGCATTTATTGTATGGAAATATTCTCTATTTAAAAAGAAAGAAGCCCTAAGCTGCTGGAGGTTCGGTGCTCATTCCCATTCGATCGAGCAACATGCTAATGTAGCGTGTCTGATCACAGCCATCGCTGCAATACTAAAGCACTTTTATCCAATCACAGTGTCCGGAGGCGGAGCCTTCACTGTCAGTCTGTCAGCAGGAAGTGTACGAACGCAGGCTGGTCACTAATGCTAGCATTTCTAAAGCACATCATTGCAGGTAATGCGTTTCCTGCAGCGGAGCGTGCAGGTCAGTCTCGGAGTCGATTCGCGCTGCAAATCCAGTCAATTTCGCTGGGAATAAAACCTTTTCTACGCTCTCTCACTGGCCAGTTCTGTCGGTTTGTCCGTCTGTGCAAAGCTTGCAAAAGTTGAGTTACAAGTCGCACTCAGAGTGTCCAAACCTTGCAAATGCTTTTATTGTCCAGTTTGTTACGGATGATCTGACCGTGATCATAACAGAGTCTCTCTAACGGCACTGCTAAAGCTTTTCCCTCTCCCATAATGAAGAGCTCATTGCATGCGATTACTGTGCTGGTGGCCGTTTGCTGGTGTGCATACCCAGTTTCAACAAGACTCGAGGAGCAAAATGACTGAAATCAAAGAAAGAAACGGAGAGAAACGTATGACTTGGCACTCGGAAGGCTAATACAGACAGAATTAATACGGAAAGATGGTCATATGGTCATAAAAATGGACATGGACAGAGAAAACGTCCTTTCCCAGCATGCAAAGGGAGTGTTTTGTTCTTTTTCTGTCAGATACTGAGCGTGTGCAAAGCGGCTGTGTGCTGATATGATGAACAGACCTGGGCTGTTTTAACTCCTAAACTGAGTATTAAAAAGCAAAAAGAATAAAAAAAAAATGTTTGATTTTTCATCTCAAAAACAAAATCATAATTCGCTCCTTGCTGTCCGTTGCCGTGACACGTGAACCCGAAGCTTAGATATCCAGGACGTGCTAGAAAATAAAATCCATCTAGCGCCCTTCGCTTTGGAGGCCCTCACCATCCCTACATCCCTCTGTTCAGAGCCATTCCAGTCACACCCACCTGAACACAGGTGAGGAAGTAAACAGCCAGTGGCAACAGGGGAACTGTCAACAAAAAAGAAGTGGCATTTTTTGGGAGGAGCCAGAGCTAGGTGAGGGTGGAGCCAGAGCCAGGTGGGAGTCCAGTGAGGGCAGGAGTGAGAGGAGCCAAGGCTGAGAATAGAAGGAGCCAAGACCTCCTGAGGCCAGGTGTGGGAGGAGCCAAATCCAGGTAATGACAGGTGTGGGACGAGCCAGGGCAGGTCAGGTCAGGTCAGGTCAGGTGTGAGCCAGGTGAGCTGAGGTGTAGTCCAGGTGAGAGTTCATGGGTCCTCTGAAGCTGCAGAGCTGTAGATGTGCGTGACAGTTGAGATGAAGCTCAGCCTGAGCGGCATCTGCACAGAACAGCAGACACACAAGAGTAATTAAAACTTTCATTAACTGAAGCTGCGCTGCATCTTCAACGGCATCAACTTCAACATTCCTCTAACCCTTAAAGGCCAACATAGAAATGTGGCTATTTCTGCTGTTTAATCTGCTCTTCTCTGGTAATTACACAATGTTTCAGCGCTGCTGCTGCGTGTATTTTATGTAAAGAGTGTGATCCGACACGGGCAGAAATTCATAGACTTTTATCTAGTTTGTGTCTCAAATGTTTTGAAAAAGAACACATGAATAGGAATAACATCAGTCACACTTTATCGCTACTCTGATTAAACAAAAACATCCAGTAACAAAGGAGCCTTGAGCATCTTTTTTGCTGTGATACGAAACACAGCAGCTCACTGTGAGCTCTGATCCTACAGCTGAAACTGATTTTACTGTTCTGTTAACTGTTAATGTGCATGCAGCGCTACTCCTCTAGCGGCGGATCACTTTTTTGTTTTTAAAGCTCAGTCCTGGACTCGTCTGGTTTACGCAGTTAACCGTTAGGACTTAAAGGGACACTCTGGTCAAAACAAAACATTTGCCCATTGCTACATCTGTTGTAAACATGCCTAACTTCCTCCTACAGTGGCGCTCAGTCTCTCTTGAGTGAGATCTTCCAGTTTAAAGACTGAAACCACCTTCTGATGATGCATCCTGAAAGTGGGTTGGGGGATGGTACTACAATGTTTTTTTCCCCCCACTAGTTGGCTAATGCTGAAGGAAGCCAGACAGCTAACATTACTGATAGGAAGCCAAATCACATCTATATTTTTTAGCCTCTACATCAAAGGCTATGCAGTCAGGATTCCCAATAATCATATCTATAAATGTTTTTGTGCACTGCATGCTGGTTATTGTAGCGAGGGAACATTGATGGACAAGAGCCCAAAAAGGTTAGAAGATTGTACATTCTGTCTAACTGATGAGGCTATTAATAGCGATTAAAGGGCCGTTCAGATTCTGCCCTTTTTTAAACGTGAAGAGCGCCACACACAGGCGAAGCAGGACACATTTCATAACCTGCTGGAGTCGCTGATCAAATCACGTGGCTGGATCAAGATGTCACAGCACAAAAACAAAGTGTTTCTGTCAACTTCTGTTGAAAGTGCTGGATTGAAATGTTAGTTTTGGTTTGATGTTGACAGACCAAGTAAAAACGGAAAAAGGATAATATGAAATTGGTATAAGAATCATATTTATGCATCATATTTAACCGAATGTGATGGGGCTGCCGTTGCATTCATCTTAATATCTTCGTCATTTTTTGTCCTATAAAGAAACCGAAAAAAAGTCTGAATCTGCCGACTCTGATCTACAGGCTGAACATTCTGGGGAGGACTGAGGCGATGTCGAACTGAGCTGAGGAGTGGAAAAGAGAAAAGGAGGAGAGAGACGGACAGAGAGAGACCGCGCTTGAGTTTTGTGAAGTTTGGAGTTGCAGTTGCTATTTATGTAGGAGAAAACGAAGCGAAGTCTGAACATACAAGTTGTCAACTCGTTCTTTCACCTAGAAGAAGAAGATCTGCAGAATGTCTGTCGGAGTCAGAGAGCGACGGTGGTGTTGGTGAAAGTGAAGATGTGGCTTTTGTTACTAATGATGACAGGTGAGAAACTTCTTATGAACACCAAGTTGCCAGCTTTCAAGGCTGACTTGGCCTTAAATGTCCACTCTAGGGAACCAAAAGTGCACTCAGAAAATGATTCTTTAGCTGAAATTAATTGAATTATGAAAATTACAGGGTGATTCAAAAAGATTCATCCGATTTTAAAATGATTTATTTCACTTGTAAATCATTACAGAACAATGCAGTAAATTGTAAATGGTTTAAGTGAGCATAAAGCTTAGTATGTAATTTTACAAGTGCTCAATATGAACCTCCTCCAGCTGTACAGACAACATCAACACCATAGTCAAATTCATCCCATACTGGATTGAGCATGTCGTTTCACTGTACTCATGACTCTTTCAATGCGATTTCGGAGATCATCCAGTGTTGTTGGCAGTGGTGGCACATAAACAGAATCCTTAACGTACCCCCACAAAAAAAGTCACACGGCGTGAGATCTGGTGATGCTGGTGACCTTTTTCTTGGAACTATTGGTACCAGCGACGAATGCTCTGAGCTGTTGGAGGTTCACTGCCATACTGACAGTCAGAGGCTCTATGACCCCCTCTTTCAACTGGTATGTGATTGGTTCCTAGGTGCCTCACAGTTGTAAAAATATGGCGCTTTGAAAACGGATGAATCTTTTTGAATCACCCTGTATTTTAACACATTAAAATGCCTTTCTTTAGAAAAAGAAGGTAATTTTGTAAGAATCTGTGGAATTTACCAAAACTGACCAAAACTGGTGTATTTTTGGCGAGATGCATTGAAGGTAAATGGATTTTGTTTCATGCTAGTCGGAGAGAGGACATAAAAGTGTGAAAGTTTCTTAACCTGTGAGCTGATGTATTTAAATAAGCAGCAAATAATGCTAATTTCTAGCCGTAGGCCGGAAATCCCAAGAGCGGCTACTGAAACACATACGATGCACTTGGTTATAGCACCAGGCTAATACTCACCTGTTTTTCGGAGGTGTGTAGCAGAGGGTCAGTTATCATGGTTCCGGCTGTTCCAGTGGCGTCCCCTGCTGGCCCACGGTGATCGACCTCCAGATGAGTCCAGCTCACTTTGCTTCCTCCAGGAGCTCATAGAGGCTTCACCATCACACGCAGCCTGCGCACACACACACACACACACACACACACACACACACACACACACACATACATATCAGACTCCATCACACACAGCACCACTGTTCCCTAGAACACATTCCTACAAAATAAGAGCCCATAATAAACATTATTTTCACCTAAATCCCATGTGTCAAACACAAGGCCCGTGTGCCAGATCAGGCCAACCACACAATCCTATCCAACCACAGAAGTATTTAAATTTTCTATTAATATTAGCCCAATTCACAGTGTGCTGCACTACAGTCCCCAGTATGCACTGCAACACAATGTTTGCTCTGACTCTCCTACCCCAACGACAATCTATGGGACAGCGGTTACACCTCAATTCTACACAATTCTGCGCAATTCCACACCAGTCATATCACCAAACACACTAGCTGCGTTACAGCTACACTTCAACCCAAGCACTTAACGTCAGCTCAGCAGCTCAGAAATTGAGCCCAAGAATTAATGACTTCACAGCAAAGAAAAGATGCCAGGCATTTAGTTTAAGTAAGCAGGTAGGTTTAAATACCTACATCCTGGGGACACTTAAATTTAGAATATTTCATGAATTCATGTAATATTTCAGGGTTTCCTACAAATGCCTATATTTTGTTGTTGACAATTTGGTGTATTTTGAATAAACAATGGTCAGTTTAAGTTAACGCAAAATGTTAAGTAAAAATAACATCAACACAGCACAAAAACACAGCTGGCCCACTGATTTGTTGAGATTTTTTTAACATGGCCCTTTTAGTGGTTGAGTTTGACACCCCGACTTAAATGGTTCTGGAAAAGTTCAGGGACCCCATTCTATGGAACCAAAAGTGCACTCAAAATCATCCTTCACCTGAAATTAATTGAATTATGGAAAGTCTTCCTACACAATTAAATGCCTTCCTTTAGAAAAAGGAGGTAATTTCGTTGACCCAACATAATTGACTAAATCAGCTACCACACTGGAAACTCAACTCAGAGTCCACTTAACTTGATTTACTGGTGTTGACTGAACTTGGTCCAACTTGTCCTATTGGAGCTGGTTTAAAAGTGGTCAGTCAGTTTAGAACCACACTCCAGGCAAATGTCTCGCTCCTGAAGAGTTCACATCCAGCACACCTGGCTCTGATATTCAGTTGCCCCTGAAGGCCTTCATTACCTGGATCAGGTGTGTATGATTACAGTTGGAGCTGAACTCTGCAGGCTGGGAGATTTACAGAAACATCTCTGAGATCAGTTTAGTGTCCATGACGACTTCAGTACGGACTGAATTTCGGACAGTAGCTATTACAGAATAACAGTTTCTAACTTCATCATCTTATCATTAACTCCAGATAAGAAAACAGTATTACACAAACATCCTAACTAGACTAAATCTCCTAAATACTGTCCTGACTTTAGGATAAACACCAGCAGTGTCCTAACTTCTGTTTAAGTGTCCGTTTCCATCGTTTTTAGGCAGCTGTGTCAGGCAGCATAGTTCACTACTAGCATAATGACGCTACATTTATTTATACTGTAAAACGCTGCTTTCACTGTGAGATGATTTTCTTTTCTAACTCTGCGTTTTAAAAATCTCAGACATTGAGTAGGTTAAGATTTCCTAACTGGAGATAAGATGCTGTAATCAGAAACATCCCCTTAACTCAAATGTGGGGTATATATCCTATTTTAAACCCCATGAGGTTGAAAAACAATATTTATTCCCTTTTATTTGACTCAACTGCCTTTGGCTGATTTAACATTTGGGATAATTATGTTCTTTCAACACCATCACTTTAAGTACATTTTAAAAATGGATCGATTCAATAATTAACTAATACCAACTTGATTTGTTTTCTGAACATGTACAACAGCAAGTTCTATGCTGGTTCTTCTATTGCACTCCGAAGGATCTGCTTCAGCACCTTTATTTTTAAGAGTGTAGAGTCTTTAAAGTATAAACTGAGAGCTAAACAATCTAACTTTCTTTTATTAACGGATGACGATCTGCTGGTGTACTCCACAAAGCCAAGACTAAACTGTTTACAAGACAGACAGTAAGAGGAGGTTTTAAAGTGTGGGCTTAGTCAAGAAAAGCAACAGTGGATGACTGTATTATTAAAAAAGCAAAAGACATATATGCTCCTAGAATCAGTAGAGAAAAATACTCCTTAATTAATTACAAAGTGGTGCAAACTGTTCTCACAATACTGCCATCAATACTTTCTTAAAAAAGTCGACATCTTAAACAAAGAACCGCAACCAGCGCAGTGATTTATATTCACACCCGGCTCCAGTGCGCACACACACACACACACACACACTAATCAGCCGTAATGGGCCCTGAGGCCGCGGAGAGGGGCGGGGGTGCAGAGGGGCACAGGAAACCCGCTAACATCAGCAGCCAAATGGGCAGGAACGAGCGGGCAACTTCCCGTCTGACACAGGAGCGGCCGGGAACAGGAAATGACTGAAGCTGGAAGGGTCTGGAATTCTTGGCAAGGTTCTGAATGGCTCTGACAGGGTATAAAAAAGTCTAGAATGGTTCTTTAAGGGTCTGACAGTGTCTGAAAATGTCTGCTGGGTTTCCTACACATCTAGAGTCGCAGGCGATTCAGCATTTATGCCTAACTAAAATAATGGTAAATCTGAAAAAATCCAGATGCCTTACAACACTGAGTGTGTGAGCATGAATGCTTTAAAGAATATCATAAAATGATCTGAGGCATCATAACCATTTCTTGCAATAACACTGATGTAGCCTTCACAGGCATTAAATGTTTCTGGTTCCCATCTGCACCACTGAGAACAATTCTGAGTCACTAAGCTTTTAAGGATTAATGTTGGAAAGAAATGAGGTGACTGGTTGTTAACGACACGTTTAAGCATCAAGTGAGGATTTATTTTCAGCTTTTACAGTGTAGTCTTATTCTTAGCACTCTCTCAGGTTATTTAGAGCACGTATGAGCACACGACATACTTCTATAAATATTTCACACCGTTTAGAGTCCAGACCCGAGTCCAAACAGACGACGCTCATCACTCGGGACCGGAGGAAGCCTGAACTAAAAACTGTTCGCTAAATTTATGAGTGGTGTTTATAATAAGCCAGTCGTTAATAGATGTAACACGCACTGCGGTCGACATTTAAATCATCGGCCAACTGAGAATTCTGCTTTAGCAACCAGCCATTGCCAAGGTCCACAGTCCAAACATTCGTCCACTCTCATACTCCTCTCCTCAACCAATCCTCAAAATATAAACAAATATCAAAGAGGCAGCTCAAACAGCGGCAGGAATGAAATACCCCCAAATTATTTTAACAGGGAAATCTGAAAAACATCCTTTAAACATCATTAATTACTTTTACTTCCCAAAAACGATTAGGTTTTCTGTACAAACAAGCAAACCAATATCAGGTCAAATTCCTAAACAGCCTCAGCCAGTCCTCCTGTCATCTACTGGTAAAATATTTCCTATATTTATCTAACTCCAGCTGACCTGCTTTGTCACTCTGGTTTTCTAAAAGCAGACGTCTGGCAACTCAGCATTCTGCGAGTGTATTCTCAGCTCCAAAGGAACATCAATGACTTTAGCAGACGCACCGATATTTCACATAATCTCTGACATACAGGAAGAGAGAGTAAGTAACAATGAACCGATGATCCTGCACTGACCTCAGGCTTTATCTGCCTTATCATCACTCTGGTAGTACATTAAATATGACTGTGGCTCATATAAAGACATCCTCGGCCCGATACAGACAAACAGATCCAGCATCTGGACAGATTAGGCTAGAATTAAACATTCACCAGATTAATTAACCTATTAGCTCTCTTTGACTTGTTTACAGTTGCTATTTCAGACAAAGAATACAACTGCATAACAGTATTATACTACACTTCCACTAACTGGCCACTTTATTAGAAACACCCACCTTATGCTTCCACTCACTGGCCACTTAATCAGAAACACCTACCTTGCACTTCCACTAACTGGCCACTTTATTAGAAACACCTACCTTGTGCCTCCACTAACTGGCCACTTTATTAGAAACACTCACCTTATGCTTCCACTCACTGGCCACTTAATCAGAAACACCTACCTTGTACTTCCACTCACTGGCCACTTTATTAGAAACACCCACCTTGTGCCTCCACTAACTGGCCACTTTATTAGAAACACCCACTTTATGCTTCCACTAACTGGCCACTATATTAGAAACACCCACCTTGTACTTCCACTGACTGGCCACTTTATTAGAAACACCTACCCTGTGCTTCCACTAAATAAATATACATTGTGCACTAAAATTGGCAGAAAAATGTTCTGTGTTCTCTGTGTGTTCGGTTTTTATATTTAGAAAACCACTACTGTACTGACTCCTCTCTTTATATACATGCATTAATTCACTTAATATATATACAGCATTGCTGAATATGTTCTGTCACCTGTTGATCAGTGATCACCCCAGGTGATGACCTTCAGCACCAAAACACTGACCTGCTCCACATCGGAGAGGAGATAAGAGTCAGAGAAGGTTCAGCCTGACTTTTATGGATCTTTGAAAGTCTGAAACTCTCATCACTCCTGCCCAGTGTGTTAACCTCAGTGATAAGATATTTGAATGTAAGGTGAGTCCAAAATGGGAAAAACATCATGTGGGTCTGAGATAAGCTGTGAGGACAAGACAAACAGACAAGGCTTATTTACAAATCAGTCACATAACACCTTTACAGCAAGACTGTAACTGTGACTGTTAGAGCTGGGCCTTCAATTCAGGCCATAAAAGACAAAACTTGGTCAAAACATGAAAAAAAAAAAAACCTCTGTGATGCTAATTTCTGCTAGCACCACTATGGGATTTCTAATGGTATGTTAGCACTAAGCTAACGCTGGTGCTCATGAATATTTAGTATATTTTGGACGTTCTAGATTAAACACAGACATTTACAGCTTGTAAAGTCCCAGCAAACAGAGTAAAATAATAAAAATGTGTCGCTGATACTAAATTGA